ATTTATTTCATGATACATTTATTTATTTAATTTTGTCACCTTTAATCCTCCATATTTCTTATGATAAAGTCGCCCAAATGGCAAATGAAGCTCTCCGTGACCCAGAAAGGAAAAACAGGTGAGGAAAATGGATGGATACATGGATTTGTGACATCCTGGGTAAAATTATTTTGAAGTTTACTGGGATAAAAAAAGGTTTTATCCCAGTAATCCCATCTCACTAGGTTGTTTGAGACTAGTTAGTGGCTCAAAATAACAAAAAATGAGCACATTTTTTCACTGAAGATGTTTTTGTTTTCCATCATATTTTTATACATTACTGTTCAATATTGTAAATACTGTGGTTATTCTCTTTGTGTGTATTTGCTAATTTTTTGTACTCAAAATACAAAAAAAAAAAAAAAAAATACAATATTTCAGATCAAGCAATCAACAAGCCCTGTAGGAGCATTTTGCTCAGCCAACTTTTGAAAAGAAAGGTCCTTTTTCCTGTAAACTCTATTTTAGGTCAAGCACAGTTATTTCAATGCCCACATCACCTCGGCCACTAAACACTATTTATAAAGTAATCCATAGAAGTAGACTTCAGAAATGAACATAACCAGATTTGGACAAGCTTTTTTTTTATAGTTATTTATCATCTGTACGGTTGTTAGACTAACCAAAATGGTACCGTAGCCTGAATTTGTTCAGTAATAAACACTCATTAATGCTGGAGTTCATGCTGACCATCAGTAAATTGACAGATTTATTGTTATGTCTTTTTGAAGCATGGCTCTTTATACAATCTGTTTGTTAGTTTGCACCCCCTCTTATTTTATTGATCAGAAACTTCCTGTGTTTGCAGGATGAGGATTTTTTTTGAGCGATGTAAAGAGACAAACCATAAAAGAACAAACCTGCCAAATTTTTCTGTGTTTCCAGTCTTGCCCTGCTGGATGACGTGAATAAAGTCGTGTGTGAGGATAAACGGGACACGCTCCCTCTTGATGCCAAACTTGGACTTGAAGTTTCCCAGGATGTGACCAAAGTCTATATGAAAAAGCTAAAAGATAACAAGCCAATCAGTGAACAGGAAGAGTGCGATGCAGGCTGGAGAAGCAGCGTGACGCTTGTCCCACCTGTCCGGTGCTGCGGACCATGATGTTGTCACTGTGGCGGTCTCCGATGCCCAGGACGTACGTAGCTACACAGTAGCCTGCACATGAGAGAGTGAACTCCTCGATGGCTCGATCGAGAGCGTCACTGAAAGTCCACAGCATGCACAGGACACATAAATATATTAAAGATGCTTTCAGAGCAGGGACTCTGAACCTCCTTCTTACCCAGAGTTCCTCTCTTTGAGCCAGTTGAGTAAAGCATCCTTGTTGAATGCTGCAGCTGCTGCAACGTTGCTGCTGGTCAACTGGATGTTTGCGATTGTGTCGGCTGAGGACACGACCTCAATCAGTCCTGTCCGATCCCCTGTTGCTAGGCAACCATACGGTACAATTCTGTAGAGGAAAGAAGACAAACATTGAATGACGTCAGCTGTAAATTGTAAAATCGCTCCTGTGGTGATTTGCTTGAAATACACAGTAAAATAAAAAATACCAAAAGGTCATTTATGTTTCAGGTGATGGTTGTGTCACCAGGTGCAGCTGTGCTGTATCTTTTACATCAGCCTGTTTGATCCATCACAAACTGGTTTCATGTGAGACTACTTCTCCAGGGATTAGTGAAGAAAAAAAATGTCTCCAGCGTAATTTAGTGTAGCTTAAATCTTTACTTGTACATGTGTCAAAAACACTGCAACTGTGTCAGTGACTGGAAAAAGGAGCAAACATTTCACAATAAAATACCCTCAATATCAAGATATGTAAAGATATGTATATACATTTTTAAGATGTGTAGTCTGATATCAAGTAAACCATAAACTAATACTAGTCCTTGTCCTGGTGGTTTTATATCTTGTGTAAGGAAGTCTCCACATAAAACTCAATCAACCTGAGAATCTTTCATGTGGAAAACAACTAACTCGGGTATTTGGAGAATCCTGTTGGAAAAACCTTTTCTGCCATTTTAAAACTCCATTTCAAACTAAGCACCTCACTAAAACATCGTCTTGTTGGAGACAATGTGGAGGTTTGGAAGCAAACCACTGTCATACAGTGGGGTGTGAAAGTTTGGGCAGCCTTGTTCATTTTCATGATTTACCTTTAGAAATTATTGATTGTTTGGATTAAAAAAAATCTGTTAAATATATCATATAGAGGACAAACACAGTGATATTTGAGAAGTGAAATGAAGTTCATGTGATTTACAGAAAGTGTGCAATAATTGGTTAAACAAAATTAGACAGGTGCATAAATTTGGGCACTGTTGTCATTTTATTGATTTCAGAACCTTTAGAACTAATTATTGGAACTTAAATTTGGTTTGGTAAGTTCAGTGACCCTTGACCTCCATACACAGGTGACTCCAGTTATGAGAAAGGGTATTTAAGGGAGACAATTGTAGTTTTTTCTCCTCTTTGCATCTTCTTTGAAGAGTGGCAGCATGGGAGTCTGAAAACAACTTTCAAATGAGCTGAAAACAAAGATTGTTCACCGTCATGGTTTAGGGGAAGGATACAGAAAGCTATCTCAGAGATTTCAGCTTTCAGTCTCCACTGTGAGAAACATTGTGAGAAAATGGAGGACCACAGGCACAGTTCAAGTCAAGGCTGGAAGTGGCAGACCAAGACAAATCTCCAATAAACAGAAGTGAAGGATGTTGAGAAGAGTCAGAGTCAACCAACCATCAAACCTGAATGAAGTAGAGATGTTCTGTAAAGAAGAATGGTCTAAAATACCTTCAGCCACAATCCAGACTCTCATTAGAAGCAGTAGAAGTGTTTAGAGAATGTTATTTCTGTGAAAGGAGGATCTACTAAATATTGAGTTAATGTTATTCTCTTTGGTGTCCAAATTTATGCACCTGCCTAATTTTATTTAATTATTGCACACTTTCTGTAAATCATATCGACTTCATTTCACTTCTCAAATTTCACTGTGTTCGTCCCCTATAACAGATTTTTTTATCCAAAAAATCAATGATTTATAAAGGTAAATCAGGAAAATTAACAAGGCTGCCCAAACTTTCACACCCCAATGTATATCCTGGACTTGTCCTTCAATAATCCCTTTTTGGAAGAAGGTGGATAGGATTTTAGGAGTAGTTTTTCAAACAAGGATCCCATTTAAATTAGAATCTCTGTTTATGGGTGGACCTTTGAGGGATAAATGAACATATAAGTAAAGATACTTGTTTCAGATCCTCATGCAGCAACCTAGAAAGCAAGTGTTAATTAATATATAAAATAATTAATTGTTTTAAGCCTTAAACACACACAACAGAAGAGTGGTGTAAAATTATTTATATCTTCAAAATGGAGAGGATTACCTTTTGAAAAAAATGTTAGGGTTGGATTGAATTTACAGTATAAAACATGTAGCAGTAGATTGGGCTTAAAGGACTTTAAATTGTTGTTGTCAGTAGACTCGTAATGTTATTGTCACGGCAGGCACACCCAAATGTTTGTGTGTCTTTCTTTTGATTTTCGGTTTGTTTTCCTCTGCTTCTTTTTCCTTGGTAAGTTTATCATTTGTTTTCTATACATGTGCAAAATACCATGAAATAAAGAGTTTTAAAAAAGAGAATATTTCATTTGATTTATGCATTGCTGTACACAAGCAGTGCTCATTCAACTGCAGTGGTGTTGTTATGAACAACAGGCATGTAAAAATGTACCTGAAGAGACGTGCTGTTGTAAAAGATGACTCTAAAAGGCCATTCACATCCAGAGGTGAATACATGTGCACACCACTTTCTAGCTTTCTATGCAGTTTCTCAAAAATACATGTTCAGGAAAAAGATTATATTTTTATTTACCTTGTTATTCTGAAGGATTTTTGCAGAAATATTGCTTTCAATCAAATTCAAAATGTAAACAAATGCCTGTTTTTTAAGCAAGAACAGAACTATTATTAAGGGGGTGAGCACTTACAATAAACTAGATGCAAAAGAGAATAGGACAGCAGCTTGGTAATGGTTTTAATGGAGGTTTAAGGAGTGCATCTCTGGATTTAAATGAGACCAATTATGGGTCCTAGAAATTGTTATGGTATGTCTGTGGGCTATCCAGACCATGTTCATTCAATTTACTGCACAAAATAATTCTCAGATAATAAAATTTCCCATTTTCTAGTTCTGCCTGCTCTGACTTCTGTTCAGAAGAGCTGTTTATGTTAATGAGCTCTGTTGGTAACGCCCTCCAAAAATCTGTTGACATTAACTCCGCCCTCCAAAACCAGCGTTTACGTTAGCATGGCTAATAATAGCAGAAGCTCCGTTGTACAACCATATGAGACCCAGAGGCAGAGTCGTGGTCGCAGCTTTTTTTCCCCTCTCCCTCCTCTGCTCTGCGCTCACTCTGCATGCTGTTACCAGAGCAGGGAGCAGCAGCGGTCAAAATACCTCAGAAACTCGAACAAATAGGCTTTAACAAGGCTTTAATAAGCTAAACAATAGAGGTACATGAGAAACGTGTAGGTAAACGTGTGAAGGTTTGTAGGATCACCTACAGAACTGACTTGACTTGAGTTTTTACTTAGACATCTAAGAGTAAGGAAATGTAGCTGCTAGCTAATTACGTCAACAGCCATCCATGTGAAGATATAGCCTTATTGTGTTTGAGATTTTTTTCAGCAAAAAGTTATAAGAATCATCAGTCTACAAGATTTTAACTAATTCATAAATGAATAAACACTTTTATTCATTAATAATTAGAGTTGATTACAGTTTAAAGTTGGTTCTTACGGATGCTAAACATCAGGTCTGAACAGCCTCTTAGTGACCGATGGGTGAACTCTGGGAACAAAACCGTGGTGATAAAGTGATGACACATTTTCTGCTCACATTACTAAAATCTTTTTCCCCCTCAAGACAGCAGCAGCTTCGTTTTATTTGCTGTGGAATTTTGTCAACAGGACAAAAGGAATAAAATCTCTCCTTTGTTGTACTGATATATTGTTATTACGACCGGTTATTAAATCTTTACATCTGGGAGCCATGATCGAGGGCTCAATGCAGACTCTGTTTCTTGATTTAATTAGCAGATTGAGCAAGGTTTAATGATGACCAAATGTGTTAAAGATCTTACCCTAATGGAAATAAGGTTTGAATGAATGAGATCAAGTGAAGGACGATGGGGAAGATTATGTGTTTCTTTTGTTGGAGGCTATACCACTTTGTCCCTACTTTTATTCCTAGTGTCCCCTCATGGTTTGAACTCTGAACTTGTGTCCTCCACATTTGAAGCCCCACCCACCAGCTCAACTGTCAAAGCAACCTCCTTCACTCTCCGCTCCAGATGTGTGACGACGGAAGAAAAACTGGGTTTGTAAGAAAGTGTCACAAGTGTGGATCCCATTAAGATATTGTATCCACGTGTGAGATTATATACAGATCTCTGAGGTGGAGGTCAAGCTAGTGTGGGGGTAATAAACGAGAGAGCAGAACAAACAAATCCAATAAAGTCTCACCTGAGGTCCAGATTGGCCTCCTTCCACAGAAGATCCATTAATCTCAATATCTGCAGGGTCAACATGTCCTGCCTCAAGTCTAGGGAATAAAAATAAAAGGTTGATTTAAATAACAGCAAATAGAAAGTAAGTAAGTAAAAGTTTATTTATATAGCGCCTTTCACAGAAAAGGATTTCACAAGGTGCTGCATATTCATTATCAGAAAGAGAAAGCAAAAATCAAAAGAAAGCAAAAATAACTCAACTGTACAAAGTATATATTCAATACATTCAAAATTTAAAACAAAAACAAAAGGAGTTCAATTTATCTCTCACCCTTATAGGTGGAGKGGATGGATACTAGACCAGAATAACACAGATGATTGTTAGTCAGGGCTTATAAACTCAAGTTATGAGGTGTTGAATGTATTCAGTTGAATGCTTGAGTGAAGAGGTGTGTTTTTAGTTGTTTTTTTAAAGGAGTCAGTGTTTTCAACAGATCTTAGTTATTTCTATGAAAGGAGGAACTACTAACAGGGTGGAAGGGCGTTCCACAGTCTGGGAGGCGTTGAGGAAAAGGCACAGTCACTACGGGTCTTGAAGCGAGTACGGGGGACCAAGAGAAGATTCTGGTCTTGTGAGCGCAAGTTGCGTTTGGGGTTATAAGGCAAGAGTACTGAGAGAGTTATAAGTACTGCTCTTATTTATCTGCCAGTATAATTTTACAGTTTCTCAGTCCCTGACTTGCTGTTTTTTTATATCACCTCCTTCCTTCCTTATTATGACCCCCGCATGCAAAGCGTTAGCGGGAGTCATATTGTTTTTGTACTGTTTTTTTTTTTTT